GAATTTTGAAGATGGAGATGTGTTTGGAATTCGAATGAATGTCATGTTTGTTGGAATAATTAAGCAACCTGACCGAGACAAGAGTCAAAAGTTGTTTTGCCTTATATGTGAATTAATTTATCACAAGGACACAAGGTTGGCTTAACTTAAAAATGTGTATTTTTTCATTTAACATAGGGTCATCTCTCAGAAGGTCTTGTCACCAAATGGTACAGATCTCCTCGCCTGCTGCTCTCTCCTAACAACTACACCAAAGCCATAGATATGTGGGCAGCTGGATGCATCTTTGCAGAAATGCTCACAGGAAAAACACTCTTCGCAGGTAAATTGTGATCATATATATATATATATATTTCAAATAGGTTCTGTAGAGACAATGGTTACTTGTTGAAACTACTCTGTGCTGAGTACAAGGCAGACAAGGAGGGTTATGTTATTCTTCCTAAAAGAGATTTGAATAGTTTTATTTTGGGTGTCTTAGGAGCCCATGAACTGGAGCAAATGCAGCTGATTCTGGAGTCCATCCCTGTGCTGCGAGAGGAAGACAGGCAGGAGCTCCACAGCGTTATCCCAGTTTTCATCCGCAATGATATGTCCACGCCCCACACACCACTGGCCAAGCTGCTCCCCGATGTCAGTCCCCAGGGTGAGTCTCGGTTTTACTCATTTGTCTGTATTATCAGGCTTGTGATATAACCATGCATGACAGCATTGGGGGAGTAGTCTGGTTCATGTATCACGTACAACAGAGCTCACGTTTCTTAAAATGCTCCTTATAGTAACTTTCACTCGGCTGACATCCTCCTGCAGCCTTAGATTTCCTGGAAAAGATCCTGACTTTTAACCCCATGGATCGTTTGACTGCGGAGGAGGCCCTCGCTCACCCCTATATGGCTGACTACTCCTTCCCCCTGGATGAGCCTGTATCACTGCACCCGTTCCACATTGAGGATGAAGTAGACGATATTCTTCTTATGGACCAGAGCCACAGCCACACTTGGGACAGGTTTGTGACTGTGAAGCAACACACAGTTTGGCATTAAAGTCTGTGATAACTACACGAACACACACCTATTTCCAACATAGTTGATTTTGTCTACAGTAGAGTTTTATATTTGTTTGTTTACTAATGTTTGTCTCTTTCTTTCCTCAGGTTTCACGAGAGCCAGCTCTCAGAGGCTGACTGGCATTTGCACAGCACACACCACGACCCAGATGAAGTCCAAGTTGACCCACGAGCACTCTCTGATGTCACAGAGGAGGAAGAGGTTCAGGTGTGTTTTTATATACATCTGTCCCAAGATGTATTGTATTATATTAGCTCATCATCCTAATCAGGCAGTCTGATGGCAGAAAAGGCCTGTAGGATGGCACATGGTCACAACATTTCATCAGAGCTGTAAAGACATTTCTGTCTTTGCAGGTGGATCCTCGTAAATATGCTGATGGAGATCGTGAGAAGCTCCTGGATGAACCGTCCTTTGACTATTCCAGTCTGTTCCCTCCAGAAAGATCCTGGCAGGATGACCACCATGAAAACAAATACTGTGATCAGCAATGTAGTCAAACTTGTAATTACAAGGCAGTCTCTCCGCCCTACCTGGACAACCTCGTCTGGAGGGACAGCGAAGTCAACCACTACTATGAACCTAAACTCATCATCGACCTCTCCAACTGGAAGGAGCAGCAGAGCAAAGAGAAGGCAGACCGCAAGGCCAGAAGCAAATGTGAGAAAAACGGGCTGGTGAAAGCCCAGATTGCTCTCCAAGAGGCTGAGAAGACCCAGGATCCAGCAGAGAAGGACAGTGAACAGGAAAAACACCAAACAGAGAAGCCTCAGAGTCAGCAGAACCAAGGCTTTGACTTTGATTCCTTCATTGCAAGCACCATTAAACTGAGCCTCCAGCCAGAGCCATGTCCAGAGGTGACCCTGCTTAGCCAAGTGGGCCTCCTGAATGAGCTCAACTCCTCCGTCTCCCTGCTAGAAACCCCACGTTCAGGCTCCGTGTCCAAATCCATAAGTCAGGAGAAGGAGGAGAAGTGCCTGGTGAATCTCGCCCAGCTAGGTGGAGGCGGATTGGGAGTTGGCGATCGGAACAGCCCCTGTCCCGCCCACCCCTGGGAGAGTTTCAGCTCTGGTGAGAGAGTCAGTGAAAATGGCTGCTTGATCGACGAAGCTTGCTGGGACATACACAGAGAGGATTACTTCCAGAAGGAGAGCACTTACACCAGCTACCTGGACCACCTGTTTAGTCGGAAAGAGGAGAGGGTCTCGGATGCAGTGTCCAGTGCAGAAATGGAGCCCTCAGAGGGACTTACCCTGGATGAGGGCTTCCTCAGTAGGAACACAGAGATTGTTCTTAATGTGCAGCTGGACACTCTGGCTTTGCCTGGCTTTGAAAGTGCAGAGGACCTGCCTCTAAAATCCATCCAGGCATCCCTGACACCCTGCGCTGTCAAATGCTCCCCACAAATTGCCCACAAAACATATAGCAGCATCTTCAAGCATCTTAATTAATAAAAAAAAAAAGTATCCTCCCTCACAGTGCAGAAATTACTTTTGTGTATTTTATTTTAATGATATGGTATATTATTATACTTGAATCATTTCATACTTTTGTATTATGGTTACTTTTTTGTTCAGTGTTTTGCAAGATCGGATGTGTGATTTGTAACATTTGAAGAGTCTGGGTCATCACTCTGAGCCTTGTTGACATGTACACCCCCATTGCTTAACTGGCACGTCACTGGCACACATACGTACTGTAGATGAGGAGAGAGCAGGAGGTGAAGTAGCTGAGGAAAAGATGGACAATAGCAGCGAGACTGAAATGATGTGGTTTTGGTGTAACCAAGAACGATGGAGAACACTGAAATAGAGGTAGGTTTTTGAGTGTTTCCTGTGACGCACACAAACGGAGGATGGGGTGTTTTTTTTTTTTGTTTTGTTTTGTTTTGTTTTTTCCTTCCTTCACTCACCATTTCCCAACAGAAAATCTTCCCGATGAACCCTCTCATACTGTAAATTTGACACATGATGCCAGCAGCAACTATTATCGTAGGCGTTTATGTAAAATGTGTTATCTACCTCAAGGTAACAGCCGCGAGAGACACTCGAAGCCGCACTAGTGCTTTACACACATGACCATCCTCATACCCTGAAATGAAGTGGTCAACGTAGATGAAATCTGTCTACTTTAGCATTTAACATAGTGAGGTGCTTCAGTAATCATTTATTTATTTCTAGCAGATGTGATATTTATTTTATCAAAACTGTGTTGTTTCAATGTGATTATTGAAGAACGAAGAGTTAGGAGGACGGACTTCCATTTTCATTTCGGCACTATATGGTTGTTTAAGTGTTCCTTTCATGGTAGGATGCAAACTCACTGTTTTGTTTTACATCTCTATCGTCTAAATGAATATCATTCTTTCCCTTGTCTTTTTTTATGGGTGCATCGTTTTTAGTGAAAAATCTGCTTTTTAATTTTGAAGAAGCGCCTAAAAAGTCTTAATTTTGTTTATTTTTTATCTAAATGTAATGTTAAAAAAAGACATTGAGTGCATGGAGGCAAGAGAAAGGTACCGTTTAAGTAACGAGGATGGTGAGTATAATGTAAATCAGTTTTAATTGTCCTTTTTGTTAAATTTCTATGTGCTTTTTCAGCAAGCATGTTGAATTAGGTTAAGGTGTAGCATGTAGAACATTTAAGGACTTTTTGTAATCATTGGTTCCCCTGTTCTACAAAATATCTCAAAATAAAAATTACGGGCAAACACTTTGGTGTGCTTTGTTGTGTTTTTATAGCTCTGCACCTTGGAACTCGCTCACAGTCTCTTAAGTGATTGGCACTTGTAAAAATATAAACGCTAATGCTAAAAGCTGAGTGGAGCTGATTTTGACATCAGGATTATGTCATTACACTAGTGAAGTCAGTGGTTCCTGTATGTTGTGTTGACACACAGATTAGTCAGTTCCAGGAACAGAGGGGAGGAGTCAGGCAGTCATTAAAGATGAACCCATCAGTAAATGTTCAAATGGTTTCACCTCCTCAAGTCACAAGGAGGTGGCAGAGTTAACAACAGAGATTTTCAGTTTCAAAGTAATCAGGGTGGGGTCAAATATACAACAGGAAGAAGCTTTAGATGTCATGATATTTATGAGTCCATGGACAATAGGTTATATTCCACCTTAAATTAAACATCAGTCATTTTTCTACGAAGCATTTGAATATGTGTTAATGTATAATATTTTATACATTATACATTTACACACGAATCTTATGCAAAAGAACAGAGTGAAATGTTTGATTTATGATGTGCATTTCTTTAAACGGAGAAGAGTCTGAAATTGATCCAACCTTTGGTTGGTGCAAAGGTTGTTAGAGAATAACAATCTACAGCTGGGCCTGGGCTTTTTTACTGTTGCCTCTTCCTTCTGGGAAACATTAGACCAACTGTGTGTTGGTGTTTCTCCTCTCTTGGTAACAACACAATCCTCATGTTACAGTGAGGTTAAATCCTGCTGGAGTATTTACAGTAGATGAGGTAAACTGAGCTATGCTATGTGAGCCCGTGAGTGTGGATTGAAAACGTGACTTAAAATATAATGTTTCACTCTCATAGTTTGACCTACATTTGTCTTTTCTTCCTTTGACTCTTAGTACGTGGTGCAGGCTTGTTTCTCTTCAGCAACTTTCTTTTCTCCTATGAAGACAGCAGAAGGAGTCCTCAGATTCTGATTCATCATCAAGACTCAGACTTTGCAACTACTCCACCATTACTCCTCAAGACTCCTTTCTAAGACAACTTTTCTCCCGGTTTACAAATAAGTATTGTGGATAGCCTCCTAACTGCACGGTGGAGGCCACCGTCAAAGTCCCAGACTGAAAACGTGGAGGGGTGCATGGGGGAGAGGGTCATCAAAACAGAGCCAATTCACACACGCAGTAAACCCTAATGTGAAACCCTGGAGGTGGTTATGGGAAGAGCTGCAGCTAATCCCAGTTTATCGGGTGAAAGGTGGATTTACACTGTGAACAGAATGCAAGTCCAACAGATGGTGACATATGGTGACCAGCATCCAGTTACAGTCTCATTCACACTTGCTATACTGTAGTTACAGTATGTTACAGTTACAGTAGGATGCACGAATCACTTCAACTTAGCAGTGTGGTGTTACAGTATGGTTAAAAGTTCTCTCAAATGACTGGTGTTAAACCTCAATTCTTATGATTTATAAAGTTAAATATTTCATTATGAGTTTGTGCTTCAAAACAATAGTTACATATATTTGATTTTCAATTGAATTTTTATAATAAAGAATGACTAGAATGGAAAACTAAATTTATTGATAAACACCTGACAAATCCCTCAAATCACTGATAACTTTTTTTGGCACAGCTGTGTGGGAGAAGTGTTGACGTACAGTGTGTAGGTTGGAGCTTCAGTCGAACCACTGTGAGGAGGTGAGCAGGAAAATGCTGAGTCAGGTTTATTTTCTTTAGCAGAAGACTTCAAACTGACTTATCATATTAGACAATATAGTCATACAACTAAAGGTAAAATAACAGAATTGAACTTTATAATTTGATAACATATGCCACTGTCTCCGCTGTCTGCTGCTTTCCAGAGAAAGTCCTTTATGCTGGTTAAGGTTAAGGTAAGTCAGCTCTGACAGAAAGGAAACCACAGAAACCACAGGAATAACTGACTAGAGCGGCAACCTGAGTGCTGCTGAATTATGGGGAGGATAAAATGTGACCCTTGTTTTACCTGTTACAACTTGAAGCAGCTCATTATGGCAGCTCAGTGTCAGAATGCAAGTCTATATTCAGACCAGTTAGATCGAGTGCTGGGTTCTAAAGTTAGAACACAAAGTGCATTTATAAATAGGCTTCAGTTCTCAGTGACCTGCACACGTGAAGCTTTATCAAATCCCTGTGCCATCTGAAGTTATAAAGTGATACCCTAACACTATCATTTTTTAGAGCAGCAGAGTAACCTGCAGTTTTCACATCAGGATCACAAATTCACCACCAAGTGTGTCTGTGCAGATTCAGAGTTCTCTGAGGGCATTGGTACCAGACTTCAGGAAAGGTCTCCCAAATTAAACACTCTACATTCTAACACGAAAGAGTTCAGTGTTGTTCAGGTAGGTCACTACAGCTTCAGTATGAATCGACCATTGAGCCACCAGCAAACATTTTAGTTGATGCTGAGCACACATACTCGAGTCTGAGGTTGGAGGTTCCAAAATAGGGGTGACGTCATGGAGGAATTCTTGCAGTAACACGTCTGTTCCTTTCATAGGTCTTGGCCATAGTTGATCAACTGTATAAGAAGAAGTAGACATTGGGCTACAAGAATCATCAGGCGGTATTGTTTGTGGCCATACTGCTAAATTACCAAACTTTGTGGCCCACTTTTTACCTTCACATGTCCAACACGAAATACTGTACATATACAGACACTTTCAGGGCTTAAGGAAAGGTTTTCTAAATTAGAATAGTTGACAGCTAGAATATTAATAGATAATAAAAATTACATATAAATAACACATTTATTTTTATTAATTATTCTAAACTAAAACTCAACTTTCTTTTACTACAACTATTTATTTTTCTTACTACTCTAGACGACAGCCCGGACTTTGAAACAAAAATTGTGAAAGGATTGTAATTTTAGAGTCTCATGTTTTGAGGTTTGTTTGTTTTTTCGCTCATGGGTCACGAGTTGCCATCCAAACAGAACATGCAAAGATAAACAGCTGCTGAATAATGTTTTGGAACAGATAGTGGAAGTGGTGCTTGCACAACAAAACATTGCTGTTCATGCAACACTTGAGACTCCCCATTGAAATAAAAGCATCACTGTGTGGGCGCTATGCACAGACCACTTGACAGCGAGGAGCAGCCTGGAACAATGGACACTGTATCACAGATGAATTTTCAAGATGAATGGGTTTCATTAGAACAGCAGCAAGAAGCTCACGAGTCGTGCAACGGAGAGCGAGTAGATGTCAGCTACTTCACACATGCACAGACTGAAATTAACTTAATTTTTGCCACAGAGTCTGTGTGGAATTGTGTGATTTATTCTCTGTCAATGAAAGAAGGCAGAGGATCATTCATGTTTGGGCATGATGAATAAAGTTGTCCACTTGATTAAAGCCAATAACTCAGGTCTGAGTTTTATTACATCTGGATAATGTGTTGTTCCTGTGAGTCACATGCCAGTCACCTGGTGTACATGTCAGAACGTGTCAGAACCCAGAGGTAGACAACTTAATAGAACCCTCACAGGTGGTGACACTGGAACTGAATTAGTCAGCCTTCACCACACCGATCTGGTTTCAGCTCTCAAAACAGACTTTCATTTCCAAACTGACACTAGTCAGGTGTCATGACTGCAGAGGACAGCCATGAGCTACTGTGCACATTGTTACAATACAGCCTCCTACTGGCCAACAAGAGCAAGCGCGCGGAGAAGAATGTGATTAAAACGAATCAAATTTACAGTTTGAGTTGAAAAGGACTGTGGTTAAAATAAAAGGTAACAGTTTTATGTCTTTCAACTGTAACCTAATACTTCAACCGACAGTTTTATATTCCTTGAAAAGGACTGTGGTTAAAAAAAAAGGTAACAGTACTTCAACCGACAGTTTTATATTCCTTCAAGGTATTTTGGAGAATAAAGACAAATTAAAATTAAATTTTATATAGATAGATAGATGTAGAATACAAAAGAGGAAGAAAAGAAAATACATCATTTAGGAAAGGTAAAAAATTTAAATGAATAACAAAAAATGACACTTGAAAAAAGTAAAAGGATATAAATGAAAAACAATTAAATAGAGCAGAAAAAAGGGAACATGGGAAAGGAAAAGAATATGAACAGAAGAAAAAGAAAAAAGTGGAAAAAAGACAAGAAAGTAAAAGAAAGAAAAAAAGGAAAGGAAAAAAGAATAAAGGTTCTTGTGCACTGAAGAAAATATTAAAGTAAACAGATGATATTCAAACATCAATGTTTGAACTTTAACTACAGACCTGTTCTTGGAGACAGTATTTTTAGTGTACACGACTCTGACCTTGTGTAAGTTGATGAAAGATACTACTGAAAGCTCAAACAACGACACCTAAACAAACTAACATCACAGTCAAGGTGTTTATCTTAATGTCCCCTCCTGTAAATGTCAGGCTGATACAAAGTAACACAAGAGCCAGACAACAGACCTGGAAACGTTCAGCGTACAAGTTGCCATGACACTGTTGTCTCTGTTGACTCTCGTCAGTTTTTCACTGGAGAATACACAACACGCGTGCATACTATAGATGTCGAGCACACATAGTTTTTCAAATGCCCCAGAGGAACAGCCTTAGAAACACCTTCTGGTCTACAGTACACACAGCGCTGCATTTCAGGCTCTCAGTCTTATCTCCTGGTCATATCAGCCGCTTCAGATCAGATATCTCTGTCGTCACGGGACCTTTGCACTTTTAAAGAATTTTAAGACTTTGGGAGATGAAGGCGAAGGCTCTGTCAGTGAAGGAGTGCATCTGGGTGTCAGAAGAGTGCCATCCGGTGGACAAGCTCAGCAGAGACACCAGCATGGAGAGCCTCTGCTTACCAAACATCTTTAAGTCCAGGAGGGTCAAGCCTCTCACCAGGATTCAAGGTGGACCTTCATACCAGGTCTACTACACTGCCAGAGAGCTGCTGCTGAAAGTGCTGGACAAAGGAGCCGTGCGGGAGTTGATCAGGAGAGCAGCTGGAGTCAAAGCAGGAACTAATCGTCCTTTACACGGTCAAAGTAGAGAACAGGGCACAGAACTCTCCGAGGAGGAATATGCCGAGGTGTTGAAGTGGTTCTCCATAGTTCTGCAGAGCGGGCTGTCTGTGGGAGAGGACGGCAGCTTTGATTCTGAGCTGACCACAAAACTAGACGGATGGCAGGGGTTTCTGAAGAGAAACAGCTTCCAGAACAACCTGCTGTATCTGAGCAGAATGGAGGATGCCGACAAGCTGGAAGTTCTCTCCGCTTTCTGTGACCTCCTCAGCAGACGATTCCAGGCCTTGTACACACCGGGACAAAACCTAGCTGTGAAGAAATACCAGCTGTCATACCACCAGACCACCTGCCCACTCCATCTGGCTGTCCTGTGTGACTTGGACTCAGGCTTTATCTGCAACATGTATCTGTATTGTCCACACCAGCTCCAGAGGCTGAGCAGGAAACCAGTGATTGAACATGTTGTTGAGTGCTTGCTGAGACGTTTCCTGAACGAGAGACGCCTGGTTCAGCTGGACTGCTCTGCGTGGACGGCAGGAAGAGTCACAGACTTCTTTTCGGACTTTGGTGGAAATATCAATTTTGTTGCAGACGTTAGAGGGCTAGGCACAGACTTCAAATCTTCACCACCTTCACACAACATGGCACAAGAGCAGAAACAAGCACCTCAGGACTTCCTGTCCCAACTGGTGGCCCACCTGCAGGGCTGGACCGGACCTGTTCTACTTCCTCTGTCAGACCTGAAAGGAACAACGATTGATGTCTTTCTCCCAGGTTTCTGGGCCGTGCTTCATACGATCTGCATCAACACATTTGTTATCCATACACTGCAGAGCCAGGGCTCAGGCAAGCAGGTCAACCTGAAAGAGTTCACCAAGACTCTGGCCTCTCAGGTTCCCATGGCTGAAAAAAGTGTTGCGGTGCCTGTTTTACCACGGCTGAACAGCAGTTCACAGCAGGAGACAGGTTTTCCAAACCTTCCTAAACAAAGGTTAGTCCCCGCAGCTGAAAACCTCCATGTTGTTTGGTATTACAACCTCATGTAATTTATACCACATAGGTGTCAAATATATAGCCCACGGGCCAAAACCAGCCCACTAAGAGGTTCAATCCATGTCGCTTGATAAACTTGGTATGCGGTACACATACCATACTTTAAGAAATATTGCATTTTGCATGGTGGATAGTTAAGGAAAGACATGTTCATGTGTTCCTTCTGTTATATTTTTCGCAGAGTTAACAACACTGCTGATTGTAGACAGCTGCAGGAAAATGAGAGAAGAAGAAGCAGCGGCGGCTCGGCCAAAAGACTACAGGTGTGGAACAAACCAGGAGTGTGTGGTTTGGACAACTTTGGAAACTCCTGCTACTTAAACGCAGTCTTACAGTGTCTGTGCTCCACCGTGCCCCTCGTTGAGCACCTTCTTCATCAAGACACGCGAAAAGAGCTCGCGAGGTGAAAACTGAGCACCATCTCCTCTCCTGACCCATGTGACTGTACAGTTTCTATCAATCCATTCATTCACATCTGTTCACATAGGTCTAAATGTCGAGCAGCAGAGGTGTTTGTCCGCCTACTGGAGGAGATGTGGCTGGGGAGAAGCTCCCGTTGTGGCCCTGTGGAGGCCAGATCTGTGCTGTGCTCCCTGCTGCCACAGTTCAACAACTATTCCCAGCAGGATGCACAGGAACTGCTGCTCTTTCTGCTCAATGTGCTCCACGAAAACCTCAAAAAGGTGAACCAACATCTATTTCAACTGCATTGAAAAATTGAATTACGGCCAAGCTAGGTTGGCTTAAAACACCATACCCTTTTCACTTCATTAAAAAATAATCCTATCCCATTTCTTTTTTTATTAAAAGATAATCTAGCAATGATTTAAAACAACAGGTCATTCAGTCTGTGCACATTGATGCCTCCAGAGACACTGAATGTGTCTGTGTGTGTTCACCTTTACAAGGCAGCAAAGTGGCAGATGCGACAGCTGAGAAAAGGCCACAACAGAAATGTTGCCAATGCTACCGGAGAACCCACCATTGTCTCACATCTGTTCGAGGGCCAGCTGACCTACACCACCCTCTGCATGCACTGCAGTTACCAGGCTGAGAACACGCAGACCTTCACTGTCCTGTCTTTGGCCATTCCATCAGACGTGATCAAGTGTTCCATTCAGGTGCCTCTAAACACCTACAGAAGTTCTCACTCACTAATGCTTAAGTTACAAAATAAAAATTTGCTGCATTTGAAATAACTGTAATCCCTCCCCCATGATTGTCTCGGTGTGGAGCAGGACTGTCTCTCACTGTTCTTTGAGCAGACCATCCTGAGCGGAGGAGAGAAGATGTTGTGTTCAGTGTGTGGTCTGAGGAGAGAAACTGCTGTCCTCACCTGTTTGGAAAAACCACCTGAAATCCTAATGCTGCACCTGAAACGGTGAGTTAACACCAAAGTCATGACAATTAGTCATGGCCAATCATGAGTTGGTTAATTTGTAGTTATTGTGTTTCAATTTCATTCTACTTTAATCTCAAGCAGTCAACAGACAAAGGTGGGGTACACCCTGTAGGGTCCACCCGTCCATCACAGGGCAAATACACTGAAAACATATTCTGCATTTAACCGGTCACCAAAGTGAGCAGTGGGCAGCACAAACACCCAAGAAGCAGTTTGTGGCAACGGTGCCATGCTCAGTGCACCTCAGTGCACAAAATGGAAGCTATGAGCTTTAAATTATATTTAAATTATTTATATTTTATTTATATATTTTGTATTTAAATTTAAAAATGTAAAAAGAAGTAGTACTAGCTGTTTGTGATGTAGATTTAAATACTATTTATATAAACAAATGCTGGGTGTTTTTTTTGTTTGCTTTTTTGAACATGGTACTCTGATGTGGCCCTCCAATGAAAAGGTGGTAACAGCAGTGGCCCCCAGCTCATTTGAGAGACCTGTACTATACAATTACAGTAAATTCTCCATTCTATAGGTTTGGGCTCAAGGGAAAGAACCACGTGAAACTGAGGACTAATGTGGTGTTTTCTATGAAGCTTGATCTCAACCAGTTTCTCTCATGCTCAAGCCAGAACACCTCTTGTTCCTCCTATCGTCTCTATGCCGTTGTGGTGAGTAAATCCATAGATTCACACACAGACAATATAGTTGTGTAGACAGTATACATTCATATATTGATGTGCAGTGAAACTCATGGCAGGTGAGGCACTGACTTAAGTAGTCGGATTTACAAAAAAATTAAACCAAACTATTCACACACAAAAGAAAATAATAATAATAATAAAAGTTGTTTAAATACTGGTTAAATGTAATATCTAATCTCAATTCTTTGTACACACACACACAGGTAAAGTACATGGGTTTTTGGCTAAAACATTTGCTCTGCATCAATTACAATTATTACCATGTTTAAATATTAGTTTGATAGTTTGAATAAAATGTTTACATTTTGATGGTTTATACTGTCTGTACAAATGTAAAAGACACATAAAGAATGTTTTCTACATGATCAAAGTTGAACGTTTTTTCAACCTTAATCAATTTTGATAAAATTTTTTTAAAAAGTTTGTGGTCTTACCTTTATTTTCGAATTAGGGCCGTGTTCTCTCTTGTTAGCGTTATCCTCAGTGCCCTTGCCTTTTAAAGGTATCTCCGTCCAAGTGTACATTAATATCATTGCTATAATTGCCGTCATTAGTACTAGTTTTGTTAATGTCTCGTAGTTTGAAAGAAACAAACAAATCAACAGTCGTCCCACTGCTGTGCACTTGATTTCCTGATATCGCTAACTTTTTGGCGCCGAAAGCAGCAGCAACAAGCAGCTAACGGACTCATGTCTGCCACTCGTCGGTTCAGCGTAGTATCGTTTACTTCGTCTTACGCCGTCACATTGCGGTTTCGTGTACGAACACGAAGACTAAACATTTCACATACACCTGTTTAGACTAAACATAGACTAAACATTTCACATACACCTGTTTGGGATTTTAGAGACCACGCTGGAGATTATGATGATTTTAAACGCATTTGTAAACATTATTTTGGCGTCGTACAATGTGACGATAGCTAACACACGCCAGTCACTGTAGTTTCAAAACAAGTTTAATCGATTGCGACTAAAAAAAAAATAATACAGATACTTGTACAACAACATTTTAAAGCACACACTATCGTGATTAGGTGATTTAAGTTACATTATGACGTCATTCACTTCTTGATAATCTTGTCATGGATGGGTTGAAGCGTTGTAAGACACAGTGAAGAAAAACTAAGATATAAATGAGGATTTGACCCATCTAATGGTAAATGGGTAAAATAAATATATATTAAACATACACTGTGGTAAAGAAGTCTTCTTATAGCAAAATAAATTATTATTACAATAGGTATACCAGTACCTGTTGATTGTAGTTTTATGCAGGACACATTCTCTTCTTCTTCTGTAGAACCATGCAGGTCACCTGAACATGGGTCACTACACAGCTCTCTGCCACAACACTGTGACCAGCACCTGGCACTGCTTCGATGACTCTGCTGTCAGAGAGGTACAGGACAGCTTTGTTCAGTCTCCAAATGCCTACCTGCTGTTTTACAGCCGGAAGCCATTCAAACATCCCAAGATCTCTGGACTCCACTGACAACATGGGGAAATCCAGTTTTGACCTTTCACCTTCATCATGTCTCCCATATCAATAAAGAAAATGAATTGTTGCCTTGTGTCCCTGTTTATTTGTGTTTTAAAACCTGTTGTTACATGAGCCAGTCTGTAGCAGTCTCTCCTGAAGTAGTTAAAAGGTTTTAAGAAAACAGCTGAGGTACGTTGTCAAAAACTTTATTTATTGTGCGGTTACACAGTAAGCTACGTCAGATGATTCTCCACTTTTAAGGGTAATTCTGCACCAGGAAAAGCTCTAGTCCAGGCAGGAACCAGCTCCCGGAGTTGGCTCATGCTTCCATTGCAACTGCTTTCTCAAGTCAAAAAGTTCTCTGTACACAGTTAACTTTGAATTCAAAACATTTTGGAATTGTACAGTAGGGTCTTCGTCTTTTGCACCAGGTCAAAACATGATTCTTTGCCTCCTCATTTAAAACCCTGACTGATTAGGACACAGCTAAATCTTTGACAAAACTAGTCAAAATTTCACATCTCTTATATTCAAACAACCCAGGTAATGTTTTACCTTGACATGTTCCGATGGTGTGCTCCAGTCTTCCTCATCAAGAAAGAAACTTAAAGTATATTTTAACTGTAATTATCAAAACAGTATAAACCCAGTGTGAAGTCATAACTGAATGATATATAAGCTCTAATCTGTTTATATAATATTTTTAAATACATTTTTGTTACCTGCTTTGCTTTAAATCACGTCAACCTCAAGGCCCGTGGGCTGAATCTGGATGATTAAGATAGTATCAAAATACTATCTTAATCATCACTAGGTGGATGAAATACAGTGTACAGTATAACACAGGCATGGCAAGTAATTCACCTTTATTCTATAATTTTAATTCTGGTGTACCAAGTGTGTGTTTACCACAAACTACATCTTCCATATTACATGCTGATTCCATGACCAATGTCCTGGTATATGTCGAATGGAAATATCAACAATCACTCCAACAATGTCCAACATGTGGAGGCGAATTAACATAAAGGTTCCCAAACTAATATGGGAAAAATCAGTGTGCCATTTGTGTCATGAGGCCTGACGTGCCAGTTGATGGCGCTGCTCAGATCTTACTATCATTTTACCATTCAACGTTTTACTATAATTGAGAAAATACCTGTAACACAGTAATTGACACTGAAAGACTAGTTAGAAGCAGTTTTAATAAATAGTTGTACGAGTTGTTAAAGATTAATATAATCATTATATCTGAAAGAAATCGTCTTTAGAGCATGGAAAAACCAAATCAACGTGTACAGTATAAAATAAGAGATTATGTTCTCATGCTAGACAATCAAACTGGAACTAAGGATTCGAACCCTGAACCTCAGAACACTGCTTGCTCCTGTCAAAATCAGTCGGTCCAAAAACACACATCCGCACAAAAACACTGCATCAGTGAATAATTAGGTTTTCATGTTTCGGCGTTCTCCCTGGTCTTACTCCAAATAAATCATTTAACCCTTCTACAAGTGCGTTACAAAAAAACCCAGCATTACCGATACAGGGTGCAGAATCGTCACGGTAATATTTCATCTTTATAACTTTTTGATAATAGTTATGCGAATAGTTAAGTGTATTTAATTAGAGAGAGAAAAAAAAACTACGACAAACTTTAGAGCAGGTAAATTCTTAGTCCTGTGTATTGTTTTCAGAGAGTGCAGTATTAATAATGTAAGCTGTTAGAGAACGTCTTCTACATAAAACAACTTCAACTGATTGCATATAGTGATGATAAAAATAATGTCAATCAACACTCACAGTCTCTCTTCTGCCCCCTAGGCTCAAGTTAGGTATGAGAAGGCTATATAGAGTCACACAGTTTGACCACGTGAACACGGGCAGGTTTTATTGGCTGCTACTTAAAAAAAAAAAAATCAGTTTGGTCACTTAACATAGACTCACCTGGCCCTCCTGTATTTACAGTTTTGTTTGTGCAACATTGGCTTTGTTATGTATGTACATGCCATCTAATAGTTAATCCTGGTCTTTGCCGATCCTTCCCCACGGCGCACATTGCAAATGAATGAAGGGCATTTGCATCAGATGCTGACGCAGCAACGTGAAGGTGCAGAACAGAGTGTTCACTTGGCCTCTACTTGATTAACAATGTGAACAGGCGGCAGGTTTAAACAGCTCTAAGGTCCTTGATTAGCTGAAGCATTGCACAGTGTGCCCGAACCATCGTCCGACAGGATGCTTTGGTCACTCGTTGGAGCATGCCTCCAGGTGCATGCGCGCGACTAACTTCCTAGCAGCCTCTTGCACCGTGTTCTCAGCGATGCGATTTTAGAAATCGGAAAAAAAGAGAAAAGAACGACCTCTAAGCGTGATCACGTCGTCCAGCTTCATCACAAGATGGAGTAAAACAGGATGTAGGCTGCGGAGGACTTCACAGAGGAGGTGGAGATTTCCCACACCTCGTGATCATCAAACTTGTACCAGCGCTGTTTCATGGCGTTCTTACAGTACGCTGTGTAATGGCCGCCGTCTAAACCACCGTAGTGGTTCTGGTAGAAGGAAAGGAGAAGTTGTTACAGTTAATTAAATTAAAAAGAATCCATCCTACTGTTTGGGACATTGCTGTATTTATCATAAAGTAAATAGTTTGAAGAGCATAACTGAAGAAACTGAGGACATAAGTGGACACTGTGTCACTGAGGTCACGCCAAAGGGTCCAGAAATCACACATTGTTCACCATCATCACCAAGATTTAAGTTTAGGAATTCATTAATAGGACGTTTGACAGGCAGCCTAATCTGTCTGCCTGTCAAATGTCTCCTATGCATAAATCCTACGAAAATGCAGTTGTGAGCTTTTTAATTTTCCATTTAGTGATGATTTAAATAAATGTGAATTTCTTTTATTTAAAAAAATTGAATGTGGAAAACTAACAATTTAGTGTTTTAAATACACTTTAAAATCTCCTGTTTTCCACATTTTTCTTTGTTATATATAAATAACTCCTAGTTAAATCTACCATTTGTTGGTACTTACAGAGACTGAATAAAGTCCATATCTCTTGAGGCTGTTTTTGGGTCCAATGACGTACTGGCTCAGGTCCAGACTATCCAGAGGAAAATCTACATAAGTCTGCAGCTTCTGCTTCCATCTCCCCTCGTAGGAAAATCTGCAGAAACACAAACAAAACCACTTTTCAGGATGATGTGAAAATCCTTCTGTTCACTTTCAAAATGTGTGAAGGGGCTTTAATAGAACAGACCGCTTCAAGTGCACCAGCAGAATGGGCGGAACTTTCCAGATCTCCAGTTTCTTTGTGGAGTCTCTGTGGGCCTTGCAGTGTCTGCAGAACACTTTATTGTTGTCCGTCAGCTTCTCCTCTTTGGAGAAGAGTCTGAGGCAGTCCTGCACGACAGATACACAAAGACACGACAGATGAATCTGTTGAAAACACCACATCATTTCACGTGTCCTTTTCACTAATCTCAATGCAAACTATGTCTCAAACTGACTAGAGTATTTCCTCTTGCTATTATTGGATCTCCAACAAATGTAGCTCTGAACACTTCACCAAAGTTAACAGGGAGCAGTGTGTAGGGGCGGTGCCATGCTCACAGCACCTCAGTGGTAACTTGGCAGCTAGTGGACTCGAACCTGAAACCTTAGGGCCCAACCACCAAGCCACCACTTGCAGAGGTTTACAGCCTGACTGACCTGAAGGGAGCACTTGCTGGTCGAGGCCAGAGGCAGTGACAGGTACATGAAGGTCTCAAAGGTCCGTGACTTGCGATGACAGGTCAGACACTGCACGGTGGACTTGAACTGACCCTGGAACAGTGCTACAATGATGGACTCGTTCAGCAGCTTGTGTTTGCTCCAGGCCAGCTCTGCTGCCATCTGATCGTCCAAATGGTCGTTTTCCTCCTCTTTGTAGCGCTTCCTGTTGTCCGCCTGACGCCAGAGAAGGAAAAGCAAGAGAGGATGTCACACCCACCTACAAATGCCACGTCTCTTTATCAAACTATGTGATGTCTTACGGCACACAGAATGAACTGACCATGACTATAATTCAGTTAAGTACAAATCCTCCTTTTTTTAAAAAAATAAATAAATGACCAAGCAGTTGAAAAACAAAGATTAGAAAGAAGTACATGTGATTTAACCAATTGATATCTCAATAATTAGTCATAATGAATTATCAATTAGCTAGAGGAAGACACAGTGAAATAGGAAGGTAGCCGGTCTGATGGCAGACAGGTGTGAACTTCACACAGAAGGAACATAATGAGATGAAGAGTGTTGTGGTAAATGACAGCTCATCCTTTTTATTTGAAAGAGTTGTTTAATGGGATGGATGTAATTCTTCATTGACTCCAGGAGGAGGCAGTGGTCAGAGAATCTCCATGCTGCTTGCTCTTACCAAGTAGCTGTGCTCTAATACTGAGCTCCAACTTTCCTGTTTTCAAATGCACTACAACTTAAAAAAAATAAATTTTTGGTGCAGGCAATGAAGCATGTTTTTGGGTTTTACATGCACAGAGGTTCTGACAGGAACATCAGTCCAGAAAGATGCAGACACACCACAGTCACTTCTGCGACAGAACCAAGGACACACAGCTTACTTACTCTCTAATTTGCCATCAAATGAAACCAGGTGTGAAATAAAAAACAGAAAGAAAGTAAAAGATAAAAGACTAAGTTTTATTATAAAGTATGCAATAAAATTAAGAAGGCAGAGTGTTTACTTTTTCCAGTACTTATTAATATCTTAAATGGATAAACACAGATAGAATATACAGATATATACTCTTATGGTAGTAATATACTTTTTTACTTTTATTTGAACAAAAATAAAACAAAAAAGTGCTACTTAGCGGTAGTAGTAGTAGTAGTAGTAATAGTAGTAGTAGTAGTAGTAGTAGTAGTATGTGATGTAATGTTTGTTTTTTAGGTCATATTGCTTCTCTAATGGTCCTGTCACAATCACGTGTCAAACTCAACGGGCCTCAGTGTCTTACGCCTGTGTGTGGGTCTGGTTTATAAAATCAGAACCATACATGACTCTGTGTCCTAGACATTTTTCTTTTTCTCTTTTACCACTTGTTATAGCTAGTTTATCGATGAAATGACTAGTTTAGAGCACTGACCTTGTTGAGATCCTCATGAAGTCCATCCATGAGGAAGAGCAACAACTCCTGGGAGTCCTGCTGGTCATACCCAGCAAACTGGTCGTTGATCTTGCCTATGGTGATCTTAAAGTCCCTGGGACTGATGCACTTGTACAGACCGGCCCACAGGGCCTTCATGATCACTCCAAACTCTTCTGCCACCTCCCCTTTGTGACCAAGGATGTTGTACCTGGTGCAAAGATAGGTTCTGCACTTATCCCAGTATCTGATACGTAATACTCTTGTCAGCTCACACATACCTGTTAATGTCCTCCATGTAGTAATTCTTGTTAAAGTAATCAGCCATGGCTGGAGTGTTACACAGGCACTGCAAGATAGAGTTCATGTAGCATGTGTTTCCAAGGTTACGGAGCCCTGTCAGCGATGCTCCCTGACCTCCAAATGTAGGATTCAGGTTGCGGATTTTAGCAGCCGACGGCCGCGCATTCTCCACTTTGGAATAGGATTTAACTGTAGCAGGTCTGCAGGACGAGAGGAATGTCATTTAGGCATAAATGAGACCCAAAGAAATTCATGGCGTCTAATATCTTAAGCAACACTGAGATTAATTCTCTGCAAAGACATTAAATTACCACTTTAAAATATTTACAACTTCAATGAGGGAAAACTTCAAAACTACAAGGGTTAAAATATACTACAAAAGGAATTGATTGTTAGTGTTGGCGTGCTTCACATGATGTATTTGTTTTGTTTTTCCTACTTGGTGTCTCTGTTGATGGGGGGTATGACTGCAGCAACAGCAGCAGAGGTAGTGGTCTTTTTTTGGGCCTCCTGCGCCTCCTCCCTCAGGTCCTGGCTAATGTCAGGGGAGGAGTAGGAGCGTTTCAGTTTGGACTGTTCGCGCTCTCGATCACGGTTGGCATCCTGCTGAGCCGGAGGCGGGGGTTTCTGTTTTGCTGCTTTTGTTGGTGGAGTGGAGGGCGGGGTCTGTGGCACAGTGACCTCCGGAGGGTAAAGGTGGACGCGGTTGGTCGGCGAATGGTAGTATCTGTACGTCCCTGTTACTATGTCAAGGAACTAGACAAGAAAAAAGTCAAAAAAATTGTCTGTACTTTTTCAACATCATAAATGTATTATGTTTTGTTTGTTTTGTTTTTTTTTCAAATGAGGTTTGAACTTTTTGTACCTTCATCCAACCGTCTGGGAGACCAGGAACACTTCGACCCATCTCTTCACTCCTTGCTCTGGTCAGAGGTTCCCTCTGTGAATAAAACACTGACTTTGTTTAAAAGGTTCATTAATAATTATAATAACAACATATAACAATAACAACAATTATTATTATTATTATTATGTGTGGTGAAGTTGAAACTGAGATGAAAACAAAAACCATGTGAGTTTCTTAACCTAATAACGTTCATTAATATGTCGGCCCTTGAAGGGCAACTGTATTGCTGATGTGGGTCCCCAGTGAAAATGAGTTTGACACCCCTGGTCTAAATGAAACTTAGAAAGCACAAACATCCACACGAGATGTCGGCGTGGCCAACGCATACCTTGATTTCACTGACAATGTGGTTCGGAGCAGGTGAATCCAGGGACATACTCTTTGAAGGTGTATCGCCGTTCTGATCCTTTCCCCTCCTGTCTTTGTCCGTCCACACCCTGTTCTCTTTGTCCTCCTCCTCCTCCGCATGCTGCCTCTCCAGTTTCTTCTTCTCTTGATGCTTTCCTTCCTCCTCTTGTCCTTTACTCTTCTCATCTTCTTCTTTTTCTTGCTTTTCCTTCAGTTCCTTCTGCTCCTTCTCCCTTCTCTCCTCTTCCAATCGACGTGTCTGGTTGCGTTTTTCCTGCTCCTGTCGCGCCTTCTCCATCACGGCCACTGCATCGGAGTGTATTCTGTTTTGCTCTTCCTTAGACAAAGCACTGTTTGGTGTGAGGGATGGTTTCACAGAGCGGTCGGGGACTAATGGGCCGTTTTGGGCCGAGTCTGTTGCGGAGCCGTTCTGGTTAGGCTTAGGTTCACCTGATACTTGCACAGATGGCTTCTTGGCACGGTCAAACTGGGAAACAGAGGAGGAGAAAACATCAAATAAAGTTTCTTCTCTTCTAAAATGTCACTGTGCCACAGTATTATATAATATGAGTACAGTACCTGTGGAAAGGCCTTGGCTGATGCAGGTGACTGGCTGGACAGACCTGCTGCAGAACCCTTTGCACCAAGGTCTACACCAGAATTTGTGGGTAATTTGACAGATGACTCTATATTATCTAACCTGTCAGATATTATGAAGGTTGGGGGTTCTGCAGGGTTTAAACCATTTACTATTGCAGGAGCCGGGGGTTCCTGAGGTTTAGTTGTGGTCTCAGGTTCTGGTTGAGGGGGTGGGGGCGGCTTTATTTCCTCCAGGGATGGATAACTGAAGTTCACTGTTCAATAATTAATATTAAAAAAAAAGAAACAGAGAAAAACAATCAATGTATTGGAATACATTTCCCCTAAAACAGTATTGGAAAAAATGTGGCACATTTTTAAACCAAGTGGGAAAATAATAGAAAGAAAAGAAAAAGATTTATTTACAAGACATCAGTCAATCTGTTTTATTTTACTCGTCCTAGTTCAAATGACGTAAAGACACAGACTTCATCCTGTTTATCCACACTTTCTTCATTAACTGTACACCAATAACTATGATTTTCCACAACAGAATATGTGAACAATCACAAGTATTTCTGCTAAAACTCAACAAAAGCTCTCAGTATCTAGGTGAGAATAAGTTCAGAACCATCGGGCGTGGTTTCTAGAGTAATATACTGGTTTTACTAGTCGTGCAGATACTCACGTTGTGGCAGCGTGTTGACCACATTCTGTCTGGGAGGCCGAACCTTTGCATTTGTAGTGTACATTGGGTAGAACAGCAGCCAGTTTTCGTAGCCTCCCTCCAGCACCAGCGGCTCACTGCGCAGGATGGTAATGCTGTCCCACTGAGGAGTGTTTAAACACATTAATGTCCCTTGTGTGTTAAGTGTTAAGACACATAATGTACGTGGGAAACAAATATAGGAGAAGAACCAACCTTAAAAAGTGCATCTTTGAGGCTCTGGAGAGTGGTGCCCAGTTTAAGGTCAGTGACAGAACTGAACCAGTCCAGCAGAACTATGTAATCCACAAATCCCCGTCGCCTCCACTGCTCTTTCGACACATCTGGCAGCTTGGTCTCAATCTGGTTCACAGTGATTCTAAGGAAATGAACAGGATTAGGGAATTGCACCTTTGTTCTAGTTCATTACAAAGAGAGAGCACAGATAACATGTGCAGAAGTGGTCTTCTCACCCTGGGCTAATGGCCTCCTCTGGCACACTGATGCAGATTTGGGCTGGGACCTGGATGTGGGACTCTTCAAAGTGAATATGGCTGCGGGCGTCCATAACGATTAGAGATATCGTCTGGTCCTTCATTAAGTGGAAAAGTTTCTCAGCTGTGATTCCACCAGCTGGTACTGCTGCTGTAGGATAAAAATAAAAGGAGCACAGCAGAAACAACAGCTGTAAAACCCTTCCCTTTTGTGCAAACTACAGCACACATTTGCCTACAAATAAACACAGCAGCAGCACATTTTGCATTAATTAGAATTATTTTTTGTTCTACTTACCTTTTGAGGTCTTCGTTTCATTTAGTTCTCCTTTTACCTTAAAAAAACCCACAATAAACCAAAAAGTTAAAATTTTCTTTAAATGAATTAGATTTGGTTAATTTTTTGTTGCTGAGACAAAAATAATCAATAATACATTAAGGTAATGTAAAGAATTAGTGTGTATTTTACAACACTTGTTGCTGTATTTAATAGGTTCTATTTAAACAAGTAACATTTTTTGTTGAATATCATCTTTTTTTTACCTTCTTGCTGTCTTTCTTATTTGCAGCTAATGATTTTGTAGAGTCTTGTCCTTTCTCTGTTATTTCCTCTCTTCTCTTCTTCTCTTCCTGTCTCTCCTTCTCCTCCAGTCTTTTTCGAACCTCAACTTCCTCATACCTGGTAAGACATGTACAGAAAAAAAATCTGTCTAGCAATCATATCCATTCTGATTACACGGTATATAGAATCTGTGGAACACATAACAAGCCTCTGACCTGAGTTTCAGGCTTTCAGAAAGCTTCTCAGCCTCTTCAATGGCTTTCTTAAAGCTGGTTGGACCAAGCATTGTTATATAAAAATCCTTTGGGTAGTAAAAAAAAAAGACAAAGTTAACGACTTAGTTCTCATACAAGCAGAATGTGCTTAAAAAGCCTTAAAGAACTTCACCGGTTGCTCCTTGAAGTCTGGTCTTTTCTTGATGATGTCATATACGGTTAAATACTTCATATACATCACGTAAGCTTTCTCCTCATCCCTGTCAAGGCGGCACTCCTCTGCCAGTTTAAAGATTTTGCAGGCACTCTGTACATAACTGTGACAAAAGACAAAGTCAAAAGTTTGAAATTTTGTAGATAGGTTTAAAAACTTGTATTTCGATACGACAAGTTAGCTTAAAAGTTAATTAGATTGTGATTCTGTAATACGACGAGTTAGCTTAAATTTCGCAAAAGTTAAAAGTTAATTAGATTGTGATTCTGTAATGACAGACAATAAACAAAAATTACTTTCGAGTACTAGTCTTGTCCGGTTTGATTTCAGCTTTTTTGTTAAGGTCCCCCAGAGATGAGGACAAATATAGCTCTTTGACCCCTGTGGATACTGCAGGCATCTTGGCAGGTGTATTTGGTCACAAGCAGACCACGAGCGTCCAGTCAGTGATGATGACTAATGTCAGACATCTCTTCAATGTCTGTTGATTAAAAAAAAAGAGGTAAAATCAACATTACTTGGTTCAAATAGACTAACTGCATTTGCAACGGTCAGTTATTAGTTAATGGCATG